CTTTCCACTGGGGAACAAGCACCCTAGTGGAAGTCTTATTCCTCCTAGAATACTTAATTCCATGTCTTTTGAGATAACTCTTGGGCTTTATGTTTATTTTTTTAGTTTTTTATTCCCTAGGGTCCGTGTCTGGGTGGATGCCTGCTGGGAGAGGGCCTGGCTGGGAGCAGCTGACCTGTGGAAGGACCTTCCAGGGTTGGCACCGTTTTCAGTGCCCCCTGCCCTCCTTCCTACCCTGCAGCGCAGTGACATCAAGCTCACAGCCTCTCCAGAGTTCTGTCCCCCTCCATTTCACCCCTGAGCCTCAGTACAGGTCAGTATGTGCTCCACCCACCACCCATTGCCCAGAAATTTGCTGACATTTCTGGTGCACTTATCTCCCTTATGTTCTCTTGGCTCATGGGTTAACTATATTCCTATACTTTATTACTTACTAAGCTCTCAGAAGGGGTGACAAAAGTGTCAATACGGTCTGCCACCTTGAACTAAATGATAAATGACTTTAATGTTTTTATACAAAACAAAGGTAGTAGAACTAATTCTGTTTCTACTTTGGACCTGTTATTCTTACTACATGTTCATCCAAGTCAGAATGATCGTCGCCACTGTTGATTTTGATTAACCTTTGATATGCCTTTCCATTGGACCCATTCTGTTAATTACACATACTGAGCATTTCCGGGAGCCTTGCATGGAGCCAAGTGCTAAATAGGATATAGATGGATGACACATATGGATCACGACAGTATCAAAAATAATAAACTTCCATACTATAGTAATTAATAATAACCATGGTCCCATTTTAGTTGCCCTTTATTTATTTTTATGCCTTTTGATTGATTTCAGAGAGGAAAGGAGGGGGAGACATAGAAACATTAATGATGAGAACCAATTGGCTGCCTCCCTCACTGGGGATGGAGCCAGTAACCTGGGCATGCACCCTGACCAGGAGTTGAACCCTGACCTCCTGGTTCATGGGTCAGTGCTCAACCACTGAGCAACACTGCCTGGGCTTTAGTTGCTTTCTATATTTGTATTTTATCTTGACCTAAATAGATCTGGATCCCTTCAGTCAGGTATTGTGTCTTGTAACTTTCTCTGTGCCCACGTGTGGTTCTTAGAATCAGTGGCTATTCCGTAAGCATAGTTGATACTTGAGGAGTGGTCAGGGTGAGCGTATTAGTAGGTGCCAAGGAAAATTGGTCGAGTATAATACCAAACTAAAAGAATTTCCAAAAAGAACCAGAAAAAGAAAAGAAAAGGCAATTATTATTTTTAATGAAGTTGAATGTTTTATTATTAGACTGTTTCTTATTTTCCTGCAAAGACAATTGCTCCACTGTATAAAAATAGCACCAGCAAAAGCAGCATATGGCAAAATTAAGGTAGTACTGTTAATTATCCAACACTGTACAACTAATAAAAACGTGTCTTCACTGCCAGTTATTTCCAATGGAAAGACCATTGAGTATTATGAGGCAAATCTAGAGATGGATGTAAGCAAGTTACATTATAAAAGTTTTATGACAATGTTATCTTTGAATTACATAAGTTTTATAACTACTTGTTACCACAGGTAATTTCAGGAATTCTGAATAACTGTAGCCTAGCCTAAACATTAGAGGGTGTTGTAAAAAGATGCATATTGTTCATCTGCAATCATTTGTAGCATTGTTGTAAGTAGTTTCTTTTTTCAGTGGTACGACTAAAAGCTGCTATTTTTAAATCTTTTGTCCACCACTAATTTAAGACAATTATGTTACATCAAGTTGTTTCATACTACTGTTCTTAGGGGTTCCCATTTTCACTCTTCAGTAGATTTTATGTATTTCCCATATACTTCTTCACTCATTGGTTCACCTAGTTCTGAAAGGTTACTCAGTGTCATCTTGATCGCCAACCATCTTCATAAAAAGATTTATTGACAAGTCCTGGATTTTCTGCATGAGCTTCATTAAGTCCAATTACTTTTCCTGATAGAGGAGACTAGAGTTCACTAGCAGCTTTCACACTTCCCAAAGTACCAAACTCACCTTTGTTCAATTTTGTCCCAATTTCAGGAGACTACAACATCTCCCAAAGCTTCCTGTGCAAAATTGATGATCCCGCTGTTCCAATACCATTTTCTGTTGTTACCCGTTTATGTTTCTCTGTGAACTTATGCAGGGAGCGTAGGTTGGGGCCAGTGCTCATTGACCCCATGGCACCCCCTCAGGCTCCAGGGCCAAGGCCATGTTCACAGTAGCAATTATTTTTAAAAAATACAAAAGCATATTTCAGAACTGAAAGATCTGGATGATCAGGTTAAAAGTGTCAAGAAGGACCTTATACAACAAATAAAAAATAAAAAGACCCACACCAACACCATTATCATGAAATTTCAGTTAACCAAAAGTAACAAAAATATCCTAAAATCTCCAAAAAAGAAAGAGTAGGCCATGTTCATAGGATCAGAAATCAAAATGGCTTCCGGCTTCTCGCTAGTAATGCTGGAGGCTAGAAGACAATGGAGCAGCAACTTCAAATTTTTGAATGAAAATTATTTTCAACTTAGACTTCTATTCCCAGTTAAAATATCACTTAACTATGAGAATAGAAGTAAGACATTTTCAAATATGCATGGGCCCCAAAATTGTATCTTCCACCCATCTTTCCTTAGGGAACTAGTGTGGCATGTGCTCCACCAAACTAGGGAATATAGTCCTGCTCAGTGTGGCTCAGTTGGTTGAGCATCATCAGGTTGCCGGTTTGATTCCCGGGTCTGCAGGAGGCAGCTGATCAATGTTTCTCTCCCTCTCCCTTCTTCTCTCTCTAAAATCAATAAAAACATATTTTTTTAAAAAATAGGGAATGTACCAAGAAGGAAAAAAGTTATGGAATCCCAGAGAAAGGAGAGGAAAGAAGGTCCAATGATGATGGTGAAGAGAAACCAGCATGGCAGCAGAGCAGCAGGATTAGAGAGCAATCTGTCCACATTTGAGGAGAAATGGAAAGTTCCAGAAGGACTCTCTTTAAGGAAAATATGAATTACTATAAACAAAAGGGCTCTTATGGTTGGGCAGTATTTGAGGATAAACTATTGTTAGTTATAAAGGAAATTAAGCAATGGGATGAGACAATTATCAACTCCAGGAGAAACAAACTGTTGTCTAAAAAAGGAAATGGAATTATAGTATACCAAATAGCCTACCTGTGAGCAGTCATAAAAGCAGTCATAACTGATTCTGGATAGTCAGTTAACCAGAGATTGTGATAAAAACTTGTGCTTCAACAAATGGTGCTCAGACAATTTCCACTTGCAAAACTAAAATGAAATTCAACCCTGGTTACCTTATACCATGCACAAAAATCAATGAGACGTGGAACACTCACCTAAATGTAAGAGCTGAAAATATAAAGCTGCTAGAAGAAAACATAGGAGAAAATCTTGTGGCCATGGATTAAATAGGGTACAATAACTGGGAAACAAGGTTTTCAAAACATGATCTGATTATAGGCTTTCATCTAGAAGATAAATTTATATTTACCCAATTATCCAACCCTTCCCCTTACCTTCTTTCTGCCTCTGGAAACCATAAATCTGACCTGTGTTTCTAGAATTTGTTTTTTTCTTTTTTAAGTTTCCACATCTAGTGAAATTATATAGTATTCGTCTTTCTCTGTCTGACTTATTTCACTTAGCATAATGCCCTTACAGTCCATCTATATTGTAGCAAATGGCTGGATTTCCTTCTATTTTATGGCTAAATAGTGTTCCATTATTTATATTTGTACCACAACTTCTTCATCCATTCATCCACCAGTGGACATTAAGTAGTTTCCACATGTTGCCTATTGTCAAGAATGGGGCAATGAACATGGGGTGCTGATATCGCTTCAAGGCGGTGATTCTGTTTCCTTTGGCTATACGCATATCCAGAAGAGGATTGCTGGACCATGTGGTAGTTTGAATTTTTTTAAGGAACCTCCATACTGTTTCTCCATAGTGACTGCTCCAAATCACATATGTATGAACCGTGCACATATGTGCACGGTTCAGATTGGGTTCATCTTAAAGGATCCCGCTTGAGAAGCATTTCGTTGTTGTAGTGATCCAGACCCATGTACCTCATTTCTTCATCAAAATTCCACTTGCTGCTCTTGCCTGGCAGCGAATACTGGTGGTGAGGATAAGAGGTATAGGTAAAGAGGAAGGGGTCTTCCTGAGGCGAGTGGCACGTGGCGGGAGGGTAGTAGCTGTTAAACTCCATGTGCACCTTCTCTTCATAGAGATCCGCCCCTGAACTTGGCCATAACGGGAGACAGCCAGTTTTGGCTGAAGGTGGTTCCACTGGAATCTGCTGAGAAAGGGGATCTAAAGCGTTCTGGGGAGGAGGGAAGTCATAAGGCCAGCCGGCCTGGGGGAAGGGGTAACTGGGACACCCGTTGTCGTTAAGAGGATTTCTCCCCAAAGCAGCACTTTTATTCCATGTTTGCAGATCACTGTAATCAGAGAGGACTCCAGGGACAGGAGGCTGAAGCAGGTCCCCAGCACCATAGATCCGCGCGTTGGACACTCTGCATTTCTCATAGAGCTCAGAGGGGCCCACGGTAGAAGTGGGGTCTGCCAGATCAGCGGCTCCCCCCAAACCATAGCTCTTAAATAAGCCTTCATTCGGTGACTTCGGATGGGGGATGCCAGGCGTCAAAAGCCCACCGTCACCACCAGGCAGGTGGATGCTTTCCTGGAAAGACCAGTTTAAAGGTAAATTCCCCCAACTTGGTGCTTCACCAGGAACAGACTGGAAAGGAAAGCGAAAAGCCCGTATAAGTAAGTTAAGCAGATGGACACAACTACCCCAGGCGCCCATGAGTTACTCTGTACAAATAGGTGCTCTGTCCGAGCTTCCTCATTCCTGGCATGCTCGGAGCGCAGACCACGGACAGCATCACCACAGCCTCTCAAGGTCTGAAAGAGGAGACGCTGATTCCATCTCCATTTTACATCTTACTAACCAGTAAGCGCCAAATTTCCCTTCGCTCTGACATGAGTGTTTAAACCAGTGGTTCTCAACCTTCCTAATCCCGCGACCCTTTGATACAGTTCCTCATGTTGTAGGGACCCCCAATTTCATTGTTACAAATTGAACATCATTAAAGCATAGTGATTAATCACAAAAACAGTATGTAATTATATATGTGTTTTCCGATGGTTTTAGGCGACCCGTGTGAAAGGGTCGTTCAACCCCCAAAGGGGTTGCGACCCACAGGTTGAGAACCGCTAGTAAACATTTCCCCTCATATGCCAATCTCATATCCTACGTGCCTGTGTGAGAAACTTACAAGGGCTACTTAAGAAAAGTCAAATTACAGCATCACAGATTGGTTTTATGCTCAGTACAACTCTCAGGGGTCCCCTCTCTCTTGCTTCCCTCCTTGACTTTTCTATTTTTCAGTGTTGTGTGACGTCCAAGGGACTAGGGTTGTTGTATTTTTTTCCTCAAGAGATTTTTCTCTGAACTTATTTTGTTGAATCATAAATAGGACTTCTAGACTATGAAATGGTAAATGTATTATTGTTATTTAATATATTTTTATTGATTTTGGAGAGGAAGGGAGAGAGAGATAGAAACATCAATGATGAGAGAGAAGCATTGATCGGCTACCTCCTGCATGCCCCACGCTGGGGATTAAGCCCACAACCCAGGCCAGTGCCCTGAGCGGGAATCAAACCATGACCTCCTGGTTCATAGGTCAACACTCAACCACTGAGCCACACCGGCCAGGCGGTAAATTTATTTTTGTAAAGAGAAAGTATATTTTCCCCCAGTGAATCCTAGGAAAATAATCTGGTTGAGGATTAAATAATCCTCTTGTCTATGCAAAACTATTGACTAATAAGAGGATGGGGTGGAGACACTGTCACCAGGTAAGAGTGAGTGGGAAGAAATGCCCTTCAACTTGTCCCATGGCTGGGAGAAGGGATGAGGGGCTAGTTATTTGGACCTGGGGCTTACATTTCCTGAACGAGCATGAGTAAAAGTTAGGTGGTTTGGGAA